CCCCCCCCCCCCCCCCCCCCCCCCCCCCCCCCCCCCCCCCCCCGCAAAAACGTTGGTTTCTCAGCTTAAGTGCAGTAAAAAAAAAAAACAACAAACAACATATCAAATACTGGGAAGCAAAGTGGATCAAGAAGCAGCACTTCCGACTCTCCTGCTGACCTGATGTAATGCCTTGGGGACAATGGGTTTAAAATGTACCCACTCACTCCAGTGTTACCATAGGAAAGCAATGTCTGCCAAGCAGGGCTGGTGCATCACAGCAGCCAAGTGTGGGTGTCCCATAAAAACACAGGGGCTTTATTTTCCACTAGCAACCAACATCTCTATTCAGACCTATGCTGATTTTTTAGACAGCAATGTTGTCATTGATGAGGCATAACCATAAATGCTATTCACCCATTATAACTATTATTATGGTGCCAATCCTGCCGGGAGAAACACAAGCAGGGGAATTAGCAAAAAAAGGCTGGGAGTGTCTTGGACCCATTCTTGGTAAGGTGCTGTGTGAGCTATCTGAGGTGTGATGGCATCTGGGACACAACAAGACCTCTCATGGGTACTTCCACACTCCACTAGGGGAACACCAGCTTGGAGGTGACCCCTGCACCGTGCTGACTCTGCACCAGCCTGCTGGTCACACAGGTTTATAATACGAATTCGTGAATATCACATCACACAGGGAACTCCCAAAGATGTGTGAAAGAGCAGATCAAAGTGTGATCAGGCTTCCCATCACTCCCATCTTCAAACTGGGGCCAGAAGAAATGCCAAATCAACCAGAGCCCATGGTTCATCAGAGCTGAGAAAGCCCCACTTGCACTACGGCTGCTTCCTTGCTTGCCTGCCGCCTGCCTTTGGTTGACCTAGTTGAGTCATGGGGAGACAGCGAGTGAGAGACATCCTGCGCTGCGGTTGTCACTGCCGCTGCCCCAGGGAGAAAATGTGCCTGTCCCAGAGGGATGCTCCTGCCCTGAATAGGTGGGGAAGCCAGGGCAAGGGGCTAGGGCAGAGCTGGCTCCCAGCCATGCCCATGACATGGCAGCCAGGCCCCCCTCCTGAAGCTGCAGTCAGAAGGAAAAAGCTGATTTCTCTTCCACTGGCCAGTGCAAGGAGCATTGATGATGGCTCCATTGGGCGATGTTTGGAGGAGGTGGTGCAGCTGCAGGCACAGGCTGGGGAGGTGGAAAAGCAGCCTGGCCATGGGCAAACCCTGCAGGGGCTTTGCTGAGTGCTAGACCCAGGTCAGACAAGTTGAAACAAGTTAAGGCACATACAAATGCTTTCTTCCTCAAATCTCAAAGGAAACGTGCACATGCTGAGCTGCAGGCACCACAAGTTGCTAAGAATAAAGGACTTCTGTTGGATTCTGACTGTGTGCTTCTTGGCTTGGCACAGCGGGCATGAACCAACTCCTAGTACCTGGCTGGGACAGCACTCCTGCCAAGCAGCCTGCCCACGTGCCAGCGGGGATCTGCATCACCTTGGTGTACACGGCTTTTTTTGCACTGACCCAACCGCATCCCAGCTCTTGTGGCTGTGGCAGCTGTTAATACAAGAGCTGTTAATGCAATATACACAGCTCCTTCCCTTCCCCCGGGCAGCAGGGATGAAGGGAAGGAAATGCTATGAAAGAAGACAACGTGGGCTCTTCTCCTCTTCCAGCCTTAGTGGGAGAGTTTGTGTTGGCAGGGAAAAGATCTCAGGGGAGCGAACTCTTCCCTTTTGCAGAGTGAGTAATATGTTGCAAAAGTTACTAAAATTAGAACACTAAAAGAATGTCTAAAAATATCACACATACTTCTTTAAAAAAAAAAACACAGAATCCCTGAACAATACACAAGAAAGGGATAATTTACCAAGAAAAAGTCATGAAATGCCAGAGTTATAACTCACCGTTCTCGTGGTCTCATGGTAAAAATTTTCAACAGTCTTCCCACCCAGTATCGGCTCAGGAGCCTGTCCTGAAGGCTGCAGCTATTGAAAAGAAACAGATGTATTGTTCAGCCTGTGTGTTCCAGAAGCAGCAGACGGAGAACAGGGTACTGCTGGGATCAGAGTCTGACACATCCCCAGGGCCCCTGCGTCCGCCCCAAGGAGCGCAGCGCTCTCTTGTCTGTCCAGAATACACAAGGCGTGATTACCCAAAGGCACAGACTTGCTATGGGATGCCAAGAAGAGCCTTTGGGGATTGTGTAGGGCTTATCGTGGGATGTCTGTGGGAAGAATAAGGAGGGGTAGAAAGGGAGGGACCAGTGCAGTCTGGGGAGGAACAAGCATGGAAAAACAGGGAAAAAGGACAAAAAGGGCACTGGGTGCTGCTCTGGCTGTGCCATGTCTTCTGACTGAGCTCTCTTTATAGCCGTCTCCCAGGTGAGGGGCTCTGTTCAATGCACAGAGCACGTAAGGAAGCGGAAGCAGCAGAACGTGGAGGGAGCCTCAAACCCTAGCAGCTGGAGGAACGGGGGTGTAGGATGCGTGATGGTGTGTGCAAGTGCTAGCACACAGCAAGCCGGGCCGGCTGGTGACTGCGGTAAGTGATGTGGGAGTCAGGGGATAGGCTGCACAGACTGTGTGGCACAGCACTGGCTGGCCATCTACATTGCACAGATAGATAGATGGATAGATAGATATTCCGCTTGTGGGCTTTCATGATGATTTGTCTGCGAGGGGAAGAGGATGAGGCCATTTGTGCTGTTTGCAAGTGATTGGGTATTGTGCATGTGCTGAGCTGCATGGCTGTGTACGTGTACATGAATTGCATGTATGCACATACTACATCTATACATGCACTTGCTATGCGTGCACACACAGTGTCCCTGCTAGAATGTCAGTGCTGCAGCACCCTCATCTCTCTTGTGCTGCTGGATTCAGCAAACCCCAACACAAAGCAACCTCAGTGCAGGCATTCCCAGAGGCACTCCTGGAAGCAAACACAGCTGGCTGCCCTATTCCTTCCCAGCTGCCCCTGCCGGCCCCAGAACCTGCCCTCACAGCCTGCTGTGTTCTTATGTCCTTAGAACCCTCCCTAGAAGCTAGCAGAGCTGTTTGTATTTCACTTAAGGACCTCTGAAAGCAGCAGCTGAGGGAGAAAACGAAGCATCTGTCAGCAAGCAGCAAACACCCATGGCACAGGGCTAGCAGCTCATACCAGCTCATGCTTGGGTCTTGCAGCGTCACCCCTCTTATGGCTGCCCACATGCCTGGGGAGTGAAGGGTGACAGCTATGAGGTGGGCTCGCAGAGCGAGGGCTGGGAGCCACAGTGCCATCCCCTGTTAAAGCCCATCGGAACGCGAGGGCTGCTGTGCGTAATACAGAGAAAACCTCAGGCCAGGCTTACTCATTTGGGGCTCTCACTGCTGTCTCGCTGCCCTTCGAACACACGGTGCAGAGGGGCTGCATGCACTCATTTGGGGAGCCCCATGCATACCAAAATGCACGGCCGTGCGATGGCTGTGGGCGCTCCATGCACCACGGCTGTGGGATGTTCCTGCAAGCAGCTGGGGTCCTGCCCAGCACAACGTGCAGCATCGGGGCTGCTCACTGTGTAGTTCTGCAAGAGATACGTGGCACCTGAGAAATACTGGCTGCTCTGGCTGTGAGGTTCACATCATACTGAGTGTGCAATTTGCTTGAGATATGCTTTAAAATCGTGGGGGACATCTGGATGCTCAGACTTCACCTGTCTCAAAGGTGAAAGATTATGACCTACGGGGATATTGCTGGGGTAAAAAGCTTCCCAACCATTCATTCAAGCTGCATCTAGGCAAGTGGATCTTTCATAAATAAAAGGAATGAAGAATAAAAGAGAAAGCCACCAGTGAGCAGGTTGTGCTGCCCTGCTGAGGCTGAGCAAGGTTGGTGCCCACTCTCAGCATGTGCTTGCAGCGGCAGGACAGGCTGCACAAGGTGCTTCTCAGGGCAAGGAAAGGTAATTTAATTTTGAAGGTGGTAGTTGCTCAGAAAGTAGTGACTGCTGTCTGATGATGGTCAGTGTGAGCAAACAGAGGGCAGTCCCAAACAGTAATATAAGCACCAGATGGTTCATCAGATCTAATATAAATTGGGGGAAGTTATGAGCTAAGCTGACCAGATGGAAAAAAAAAAAAAAGTAACTAAATGTTTGTGGATGGAAAAAAAGCAAGAGCTCTTTCAGAAGTGTTTATGAAGGAAACAATTTTGGCAGACGTTTAATCTGATAGCTGCTAAAAATGATAAAACAATACTCAGAAAACAAAAAAGGGAAAAGAGTTCATAATGTACATGAGGAAGACGGTGTAATGTGGTCAACATAATTCTGTTGACACCTGGTCTTGATTTAGTCCCTGAAATCTTATGACTAATGTATAATGATCTTGAGAGGCACATACAGTGGTATTACAAGTATGCAGGTTAGAAAAGGCTGACTTTCTGATCCCAATAAAATATCTGTGAGAGGACACATGGGCTCACCTCTTGAAGTAGGAAATAGCACTACATGGGTGTTTTCAGAGGTTTAGCTGGGACAGGAATACTTGTCCTTCACTCCTCCAACTGTTTAATGCAAAATTAGAGACCCAAAGGAAGAATCGGGAGCTGCAACTTTCAAGAGGAGTGATTTCAGAAACAAAAAACTCCCATAGGAGTAATAAGGGAAAGCAGATAGACTGATGAAGATAGCGCCAGATAAGCAAAAAAAGCCACATCCTTAACCCTTCCCAGGACAGGGATGTACATGGAGCACATTGGCTGCACATCCTTCCCCGGGGCTTCCAACCCTGCAGGAAGCTTCACTGTGAGCAAACTGGCTGAGCCCAGCAGCTCTGCAAGAGAGCCTGCATTTTTAAGTGGAAGCTTTATCTTTAATTATTACTAATGGCATCAATTGTGTCTCTTCTTTAGAAAGATGTCAAAAAAAAGATGTATTTGACTTTTGTCTCCTGTTTTACAATCTAATGCTATGGGTGTGATTTCTTACTGAGGAACAGGAAGGAAAACTGGTATGACTAAGTTCACCTCAACCTTTCAGAGGTGCCAGAGCAAACACACAGCCCCTGCCTACTCAGTTGAAGTCATGGTGAGTGAAGTCCACTCAGAGGCAGTAGCAAAATCCACAGGAGCTCACTGGAAAGAGATAATGCTTAAGGCAAAGGTCACTGTCAACACTGGAAAATTTCTTTTCGTGACAAAAAAAAAAAAAGAAAGAAAAAGAAAAAAAAATAAGAGGGCTACAGCTGGCCTTAAAACCTCACAGCTCTGCTGCAACATGCCATTGCTTTGTGGTGAGGGGACACTGACCTCCCCCAGCTCTGAGACTGCACAGGACTGCACTGTGGTCCACTGGGAGCTCAGCTCCATGACACGGCCGTAGCATGCTGCCATTAAACAAGTAGCTCTGCTGCAGATGCTCTACGGCTTGTGCTGGGCACACCACAGTCCCTAAGGGTTGGGAAAACCCGCTGGCAATGTCAGAAACCCTAATCCTGCCTGGATTTTCTGTGCTTAGTGCAGCCAGTTCTTGGAACTGGGCTTGTGCAACCATCCTCTTGAAAAAGAGCCTTCTCCTAACCCAAGGATTACAACAACCCTTGTGACAGTCCTGGGGAACACAGTTACATGCAGCAGTAGAACTGCAGGGGTGCCACGGTGATGCCACTCGCCCTGCTGCTCACACGGAGCTGCTCACTTGGAAAGAGCTCACTTGGAAAGAGCACAGCGCTCTGAAGTGAGGTATTGGTGTCACTGTCCCTGGAGGCATTCAAGAACCATGAGATGCAGCATGGAGGGACATGGATTAGCAGGCATAGACTGATGGTTGGATGATTGGACTACATGATCTTAGAGGTCTTTTCCACTCTTAATGATTCTATGATTTCTATTGCCTTGGCACCGAGCCACAGATGCCCAGGATTTAATTCGTAATTTCAAAGCGTTTCCACAATTTCCTCCTCTGCTTTTCACTGCCAAAAACCATCTGAATCATACAACCTCCTGACCCAATGCCTCTGCTAGCAGAAATTCCTGGAGCATTAGCAGCCAAAGAGTGGCTATAAGCGAGGAGCATGAAAATGTCACATGAGAACAAAACCAGAGCGTGAAAAATAGCTCATATGGTTGCAAGAAACTGAAGTAGGAGCACACAATATTCTGGGGTAAAATGCTTTTACCTTGATAAGTAAGACTGGCTCAGTTCAATTATTCCTGGAAGCATTAAAAGGGCACTAGATAAGGCACATGCTGAGCAGCAAGACCTAGATGAAAGTGTTGCCTTTCCTATGCTTTGCTTTTTTCTCTTTGTAATGCTATAATGTGATTGAAAGAATAGCAATAATAGCAGAGTGACACAATCCAAAGCAAAGGAGAACAAACCCAAATGCAGCAGCCATGGGTGCAGAAACAAAGGAAGAAAAACTGCTTGTTTTTGGAAGGCCTCAGGTAGACAGGGATCTCCAACAAGATACCCTCACCTCCACTGCTAACCCTTAAATGAGGTCTGGGAAAGGGTGGATCCTGGCTCCAGCCCTTCAGGTCACTCATGTTCATTTCATACATCTGAGCTCCCCTGCTCAATCATTGCTTCGTGCTCTGACTTAGCATTTCTGCTACACTCTTGCTCAACTATGAGGCTTCAGTTGCTATTTCCTGCTATTCTGCTTCATCAGACTGCATGAGCCAAGACCCTCAAGGTAAAGACAGCTGTTGGTGGAAAATAAGGAACTGCACATGAAAGGACAGCACTGGGCATAAGTTGTACTACCTGATGGCATCGATGAGAGCAACAGCAGTGCTCTGCTAGCACTCCACTCCAAGTAGATGCCAGCCCTTTAAATTAGAGGCAAAGACTAATGAGAAGAGCCAAAAAGTGCCTGGGGTACCTTGCCTCCAAAGGAACATCAGTGTTGCCCAGCACACTGTCAACTGTGCTCAAAACAATTGGAGCTCCGAAACTGCAGAGCGGTGCTGAATTTAACACAGGTCCTTCCATTTTGTCACCAAACCATCAATAATCACTCTACTTGCTCTGCTTCTGTCTAGCAGTGATTTCATACAGATCTTTCATCATCAGTGTTACAGAAAAGAGTCAAACTTCTTACCAAAGACAGCAAATTCCTACAGCTATTCCTCTGTCCAAGACTTTCTTATCCCTCACAAGACAACTTTATCTTTTGTTCCTGGAAACCCACACTGGTTGCTTCTCATTTCCTTTTTCTTTCTAGATGTTTATAAACAGTTCAATCAGATGTTCCCCTATTCTTCTGAGAAGTTCATCTGACCCATGTAACTCCTAGTTTCCTCCTTTTGGGGTTCTAAGAGTGCTTTCCCAGGAAATAGGAACTGAATTGGGAAGGGTGCCCGTAGGCCTTGGAGAAGAGCCCTCACATATGTGCAATGCTCCCAGTGGGCCAGGAGCTGCGGTTTATGGTGAGGATGCTCTTTGCCTCATCCCACAGGCTGGAGTACAGCAGCCTCATGGCATGGGCACATTGATGGTTGGCAGCTTCAAGATCTGGTACAGGGGTGACACTGCAGGACTGAGCCACAACCATGGCCAATATGCTTTAGCCAAGGTTTAGCCATCACTTCTGGCTGGAATAATTTTGCTGTCAGAACCAGTGGAAAGCATTTCTTTGGAAAATGACTGGGATGACAAAGAAACCAGAAGCCAGGAAGATTTCCTGTAGGATTGCAAGCAGGCGCTCTCACAGCACGTACTTGAAACTGCCAGACCTGCATGCACTTGGGTTTCAATATGCAAGGCAGGCGGACAAGATGAAGGTGATTAAAACCACAGAAGATAGTTTGTGCATCATTGTTCATGATCATACTGAATGAGCTGTCCTCTTTCCTGTTTCGGACATAATGCCAGATACATTACTTGAAATGCAGCTTTCGATCCTCAGTGCCGCCTGTGTTATTAACCCAGGCTAAGCAACACTTGCACTGGGGGACTACAGAAATGACAGAGCAATTTCAGAAATACATATGCACAACTTCCACCCACATTTTCAGGGTACATTCTTTTAGAAACAAAACCAGTGCAATATCCAAAGTCGGGAAGGGAGATGAGTGAGACACTGTGTCTGGATCAAAGACACGTACCAAAATGTGAGCATTATGGGGGGTCATGCTGGTTTGGAATGTTTTAGCATCTCCAGTATTTTTGTAGAAACCAAACAGCCAACGGTGAAACAGTTTCCTTCCTTGGAGAACCAGTAGGGGAGAGCAGGCTGCTGCACCTGACAGAGCTACTCTGGTACATGGCAGTGCCTACTCTTCCAGGAAGGCAGATGCAGTGTAAAGATTACTCTCTCTTTCAGTGATTCCCCACTGAAACACTGCCAGGTCTGCTGGCAGGCTATAGAGGATCTGTGCCGATTGCCTCTGCAGCCACTTGCTGGTGGCTCTCGCTACAGGTAGCAGAACAGGCTTTAGGCAAGCCTGCCTCACAGTGCTCCTCCTCTGCTTCTGCCACGGGGACTGTGAGTGATGGGCACCTGCCCTGAGCCGTGCCCACAGCAGGCACCTCAGGGCACAAGGAGGTGCAGACGTCTGCAGCCCAGACAGACTCTCAGCATGTCTTGCCATTCCTGTGGGACCAGTAGAGCCTGGTCCCAGCTTCCCAGCCAGCATGGCCAGGTGCTGCAGGTGGCTGAAAACAGTGTCGTGGGGAAGGACCCAGAGGTAGATTTTTTTCCCCACTGGAAAGCTACTCTAAAGACACATTGAGATTAATAAACCTCTTCACTAAGCCTGTTATGGATGGACACCGTGGCTGGAAACACAGAGCCTGTTTCCTGGGGACTTTTCATGGAGGCAGGTAGATGAGATAGGATGTTGCAGATCTGCAGGAGCAAACAACCTCCCTCTCCATGTCCCCACAGCCTCAGTGGGCCTCTGCAGCACCGCGGAGTGTTGCCTCGCTCTTCTTCGGGTCTTGGCTAAGCCTGAGCTCAGTGCCGGGAGCAATGCCATCTAGGTCAGAGGGAACTTCTCAGAGGCAGCATCACTTCCCCTCACCATGGCATCAGTCATATCTGGGCAAGGAAAGAGGGTTAGGGTTGTTCCTGGACCTCTTGGTGAGATGGTGTTCAGCTTGAACATGCCCTGGTGAGCAGCTGCTGGCAGAAGTGGAACAGGAATTCCCATGCACCCAAGAAGTAAAAGAAAACTTTAAAGTTGAGCATTTTTTCAGTAAATTTGTATGACTTCTGGCTTGCTCTTGAGACAAATACCAGACTCCTGGTATTTGTACCAAATTCCTGACTCAATCTACCAGCTTTTGCCAAACGAGGTTATTTCTCACGAATAAATGTGCTGAGGAGCTGTGTGTCCTCATGGCAGTGTGCTCACCCAAGTGCTGCACTCCACCCTTTGTTCAGTTCATATTTATAAGAAATATCCTTGCTTAAATGAAAAAAAAAACCCATGAAAAAAAACTTTATTCTTGCTTTCTCTGCATGCAGAGTACATGTTCGTCAGGACACGTGCCTTGTGACAAGTTAAGACAGAACATTTTGGGGAAGGGAAACTTCTGACAACTCATACCTGACAGATGAATGTACTATAACACTCCCAATGGGCCTGATCCTCACTGGGAGAAGGTAGCACCTGACTTTAGTCACGATATGCTGATTTACAACAAAAAAAAATCTGTCTGAAAGAGTGACAGAAAGAACAGTGGTGGACAGCCTCCAAAGAGGCTTTGCATCTTGTCACCCAAAACATGCACAGGAGATGGCCCTCGCTGCAGACAAGTGACATCTATCAACTCCACAATCACACGTGAGTGTCATGAGAAGACTAAGCAAAGGGGGAGTGTTGGGAGGAGAGGCGGCAAAGCAACATGTAATACAGGCCCTTGGACAGATAGGAAAAACTGGATTTGCATTTCAAGTTTTCAGTGTCCCAAAAGGCAGTGTTCTTCCAGGAGGGAAGCCTGATGGCCCAGGGGTGTCCCTCCACTTGTAGGGGCAGGGTGCAGGTTTCAATGAGTGCAACAAGGGATGCTCCATGAGCAGTTCTCCATTTTCTCCCTCTTAAGTTTCATGTAGCATCGCATGGTCTTAAAGGTAAAAGACAAAGGTGAAGAGAAATGGAAAGCACACATTTTGTCTCCAATTCTTCATGATTTCCATTTGTCCCATATTCCCTCCTATTAATTACTTCTTTACAGAAAAGATATTTTAGCAGCATCATACTCTACAAACCGGGCAGGCAGCCAGCGCTCTGTAAACCCCCAACCTGAGGCTGAACAGAAAGATGAGAGCTTTTACTGTCAAAAGGCTGCTCAGAGAGATCAGTGTCCATCTGACTATTAGCTACCATTGGAAACATCACATATCAAGAGATCCATAGCTGAAACTATGAAAGACATAAACACATCTACATTCAAAGGCCCTTACTCAAAACTGAACTGGGATGCAACAAACCAGCCCCCACATTCACAAAAAAAAAAAAAAAAAAAAAAAAAAAAAGAATAAAGAAAAGACAGAAAGAAAGAAAGAAGGAAGGGGAAATTCAGATTAGTCACAAAGAAGTTCCCCCGCCTGCCTCTGTGCACATAAAACCCTCTCCTGAAGGCAGCATGTTCATTTCATTTCTGCTCCTGGGACAGGAGCACCTATCTCATCCGCTTTGTGCTCCACAGGCCCTCCTGTGCTCCTCGTCCCTGCCCTGCTGGCAGAGATGGAAGAACAGCCAGATACGGAATTGAGAAAGCACAACGATCAGAAGGACTGTGAAAAGGAGCCTGCTGGCATAATGAGTGATGATGAGTGGAAGGACTGGCAAAAAGGACAGGCTAAGAGGAACACGCTGTACCTCGTGTCCGCAGCCACTCAGTGGATATTACTGCTTGCCTGCTTGATTTACCTTGGCACAGATTCTCTGCAACTCTGGACGGTAAGAGTTCATGTTCAACCTGTTGTCTTCTGGCCTGTAGAACTTTGTATGGGATTTCGTAAGCAAAGGTTTATCCCTATTTAGCTGTAAGGTTCTAATGCATTCCTAATAATTCTCACACATTTCTTATACCTCTTGTCCTCATAACAGTGCCCAGTGTCACCAAGTACAGGGCCGGGGGATAGGCTGTCAAGAAGTGGGATGGTTCCAGGAATGCACTGTACAGCAGCACCGGTGGAAGAGGTCTGTCCCCTCACGACTCCAGCCCCACCACCTCAGTACCTGCTAGTGGAGCTGACGTGCAGAGACTTGTGTGTGCTCTTTTAGTTGAGATTGTCTGAATGGAGAGTTACTTTTATTAAGTGCAGAATGAAGGACCAGAAACCAAGTAGCTTATAAACTT